AGGCCCCAAATAAACTCATCATGAGAGTCAGCATGCTACAGACTATAATGAATAAACACGGTCCCTGCTATCAAGTTCTTATAATCTGAAAAAAAGACTAATTGGTTAATAAGTAACCATTATACCCCACAATATGAGGTTGTCATTAATAAATGTATTACAGCAGAGCAACTTAAGCTAAGGGCAATGGAAGTAGAAAGAAGGGGTTTATTAATTAATCAGACCTGGAAATAAAGGAGAAGTTCCAGAGGCAGAATTATATCCTAGTTACAATAGAAGATGCCCTCTGAATATAAAACTCTATGAAGCAACTAGGCCGTCTGGATCAGAGATTCCAATTTTTGATGACACTGCTTACCAAATAAATTTGATAAAATCAATAACTTCTGAGAAACAGAACAGATCCCACTGTTGATAGATTTATTTTATCAGGTAAAGACAGGTAATGGCATGGTCGCTATATTCAACTAGATTACCAAATAAGAAGCACATCCAAATACCTTCAAATGTTATAGCATATAAAACATTTTTAGAAATTTGGATTTTGGAACTTTGGATTATAAATTTTCTGGGGTCTGCCTAGGAATTCCTTCGTAAAACCTAGGCTTTTGTATGAAACAGTCTCTGACACTCCACTACCCTTACTTTTTGACAGCTTTGCATTTCTCTGTCTTTGGTAACATGTAAAAGAAATCTATCTATGACTTATAATTTATTATACCAAATCAACAAACTAATGAATACATCAAAGACCAGAGAAGCTTGTCTTTTTTTTTTTTTTTTTTTTTAAAGATTTTATTTATTTATTTGACAGAGATCACAAGTAGACAGAGAGGCAGGCAGAGAGAGAGAGAGAGAGAGGGAAGCAGGCTCCCTGCTGAGCAGAGAGCCCGATGCGGGACTCGATCCCAGGACCCTGAGATCATGACCTGAGCCGAAGGCAGCGGCTTAACACACTGAGCCACCCAGGCGCCCCAGAGAAGCTTGTCTTAATCCAAATAGTCCTTCAGTTTTTTAAAGTTTCTAGAGTACATAAGTTAAATTTTGGGAGAGGGAAAAAAATCACCAATACCAACAACTTAGAAAGTAAGATTAGAACTTTACTTGGCAGAAGTACAATCCATGAATTTTTGGAAACCATCACTGATTTCCCTGTTCCCCACCCACCAAACTGGATACTTTCTACTTGTTTAATGTTTTGAAGGTCTAAGTACGGAAAACACAGTAATATTATTTTTTGTTTTACAAGAATGGCAATGGTGTCTTCTCTTTTTGGAAGTTTTTATCCACTTTTCTAAAAGTGCTGAAAACAGAAAGAGCACTTTCCTCAAAGGTCAGGACTTTTTTTTTTTTTTTTTTAAAGTAAACTCTATATCCAACGTGGGGCTCAAACTCATGACCCCAAGATCAAGAGTTCCCTGCTCTACTGACTGAGCCAGCCAGGTGCCCCAGAGTTCGGCACTCTGAAACAAGTTTCAGACATTCCAAATAAAAGATGACAAAATTGTAATTAATGTGTTTCTTCTATTCTGATATATTTTTTCACATCTTAGTGTTTCTGAAAACTTCTGTACATCTTTTCATGTTTACATTTAATGCAGTAGTTTCTTTTCTCATTCTAAGAGCTGTTTTTAAACTAAATGTGTGTCATCATTTTCTTTAAAAATTTTTTGAAAAAAACTCTACGTTAAACTTAGTAACACAAACATAATGTTTGAGGCAAGCTAGGTTATATATAGTATACTAGATATTCCTACACAAAATCTGCCAAGTGTTATATAAAGTACAAGTATCTTGGCTCTCAAGAAACCAATTTTAGAAAGAGGGAAAGAAGGAAAAAAGTAAAACTCCCTCCCATCTTAGCTTCAAATATTCAGAAATTTTATAGCTGTTACCTTACATTGTTGATTATGCATATTTTCTCTTTAATTACTCTGTGAGGGCTGGAAGACATCATACACACATACAGGGTTGGGGTGCAATGAGTGTGTGTATGTGCTTATTATGTAGCACTAATTTTCTTTTTTTTTTTTTAAGATTTATTTGGGAGGGAAGTGGAGAGAGAGAGACAGAGACAGAGACAGAGACAGAAGGAGCAGGGGGAGGGGCAAACAGACTCCTCGCTGAGCATGATCCCAGGACTCTTCATGATCCAGGGCCTGAAGTCAGACGTTTAACCGACTGGGCCACCCAGGCACCCCGGTAGCATTAATTTTCTGTGTTATGACTCTTCAAAAAGCTAGAACTGCATCAGTAGTAGCTACGAAAAGGAATTCACACCACAGTTTAATAAGTGCTATAATAAAATAAATACAGGACATTATAAAGGCACACAGGAAAAGCATCTGACCCTTCTTTACACAAATGTGTAAGTGTGCTACCAGGAAGGCTTCTGGGAGAAATAATGCCTGCATTAAGACCTGAAAAAAGAGAAACATCCATGTCTTTGGAAATACTGATAGGGATTTCTTTTATATGTAATGGTGTAACTAATTCTGCATGGTAGGTGTTCAATAATACAGGGTATAAGGCAGATACTTTCTTTCTCTGGTGGTGGGGGGGTGGTTTGAGGGATAAAGAGGGGGCAGGAGGAGAGGAAAAGGCTGAGAGAGGATGTAAGAAAATGCAACTGAAAAGACCAAAAGCAGGATAAAACGGACAAAAAGAATGAACTCGGTTTTAACACTCAGACTCTAGCACTTACTAGCTAAGTGATCTTGGGCAGGTACCTAATTCTGTCTCAGCTTTCTTCTCCGTAGCCAGTAACAACTGACTCAAAGAGATGTAGTGAATCTGAAATGGGATAATATATGTTTGTCTTGTTATCTAATTAATTTCCCTACTAGACTGTAAGCCCCAAAGGACAGAGACTATGAATAATAACTTATGAACTACTATCTAGCAAGTCCTTGGCAAATTGCTTGGCACACATGTCCACCAAGTATTGACTATCATTACTTTATTAGAACAATTTCAACTACAAAAATACCATCACTTCAGCAATGCACTGTAACAAATTTGGTTGTATTCTGAAAAGATCAGACTGTTAACTGATTGGTTTTCTTATTATAAAAAACATTTATAAAGTTAATGCTATCTGACCACAAAGAGTTTTATTAATCATAACCATAAAGTGTCCCAAATCTGAACAAAAACAAACATTTAGAAAAACATGCCCTTGGAGATATTACATAGTTAAATCTATACTTCAAAGAGGTATAAATAGAAACTTTTCCTCTCTCTAAAAAGGTGTTTTTCAACCAAGGGTGACTTTGTTCCCTAGGGGGCATGTGAAAAAGTCTGAGGACATTTTTGGTTGTCATAACTCGGTGGGGGTGGGTGTGTGTGGGTGTGTGTATAGTGGGGCTACTGGTATCTAGTGTGTAGAGGCCAGGGAAGCTGCTTAAACATCCTACAATACACATGACAGTTCCCACAATAAAGAACTAGCTGGTGCAAAATGTCAATAGTGCTGAGATGGCAGGGCAGGGAGGGGGGAGGGGGAGTCAGAGAGTAGAAATGTATGTAAGGTTGTAGGATGGCCAGAACACTTATAAGTTGTTTAGGTTTAACGTTATCAGAGTTATTATTTATTATTGAAACTTCTTTTTTTTTTTTTTTAACCAAGATTTATTTGGATTTTTTTAAAGAGAGGTTTAGAGGGATTTTTCCTCATATATACCCCAGATAAAGAGAATGATCTCTCTGAGAATTATTTTAGGTCAATAAAAATATATAAAAGCTTACAATAGCTCAGAAGAAAATAATGCATATAAAATGCTTAATTTCAAGACTTGCAAATGAAGTTCTAATCTTTATCAGAGTAAGAATGCACAGGTACATTAAGCTAAAAGAAGAAAAGATACATATGTCTTACATTTTCTACCATTTTATCAGTGTACTAATTTTGAAAGTACAAAGCAGACTTAAATGATGTGTTAATATTTATTCATATATGCACAGTAGGAGGAACATGTGGCCATTTCACTGCCTCTTCTCTGGTACTCTGCTATTTATTAGTGATCCTTGCCTCCACATTATCTCTGATCTGTTTTATAGCACATGGGCACGAATGATCTGTTAAAAATTGTGAGGTGGTACCACACATAGTAATGATATTAAATATAATTTAACTTAAACATTCAATTTAATTTATGGCAGTGAAAATTTAAACATTGGTTACTATCAGAAATGGAATTATCGGGCACCAGGGTGGCTCAGTGGGTTAAAGCCTCTGCCTTCAGCTCAGGTCATGATCCCAAGGTTCTGGGATTTGAGCCCCGCATTGGGCTCTCTGCTTGGCAGGGAGCCTGCTTCCCCCTCTCTCTCTGCCTACCTCTCTGCCTACTTGTGATCTCTGTCTGTCCATAAATAAATAAAATCTTAAAAAAAAAAAAAAAAGGAATTATCAGGTAGAAGTGAATTTAGATGGTAACAGGTCATAAAGAGCTGATGTTATTTTTCTTGCGTATCTTTTGAAATAACATCCCTTGGCTTCATATTTGAGAAAAGTAGTATCACCAAAATATAATGAGATGATTTAAAAAATTTAACCAATAATTTCCAGAAAAGGTCTAATAAGAAATCGAATCCATGTAAAGCTATTGCTAGAGCTTCTTGATTGAGGTAATAAAAAGATACTATTGAGTAGAAAGGGAAAAAAATCCACCTTATTTGAAGAAATCTTGGAGTTTATTTCTATGTTATTAGGAAAAAATAACTAATTTTACATGAAAATTTAAAAGCAGTTCCATAATTTTGTCACATATGCCAAATTCTTAGACAGCAAAGTATGATGAATTCCTTATCTGTCAACTAAAATCATTTTTTTTGATCATCCATTTTTATACAATAAGCAAATTCAACACCTAGTCCTTCAGACACCTGGCTGACAATACCTTATTCTTCTAAGCTGATATTTTTCATCTGAAAAGTGTAGATAATCATCTATCAATGTGCTATTTGTTCACATAATTTAACCATTTACAAAATGACCATACCTCTTCAATACCAGCTATATTATTCACAGCCAGTTTTTTTAGAGAACTCTGGAGTTTTTTGTCATCAGCTGTAGCTGTTCTATGTACCACCTTCTTCTTTCTGCGAGCTGTACCCTGAAAAATAACCAAACAGAAGTGTTAGGATGCTTTGCATCTGGCCAGTGCAGTCAGTCACATGTCTTCCTATTCCTAATACTCTAATTAAAACCCACATAAGAAATTGCTGACTTAATACTAATGACTAAGAAGACTGTTCAGAGTTGTGTTAGCCTAACCCAGATTTTTGACAATCAGTTCTAGTCAGTTCTTATTTTTTCCAATATCCATTTATCATTTCCACATATCATGTTTCAAAAGTTTTCAATAATAAAACAATACAATTGTGTTTTATGACAACTTCCAAATATTACAAGGAATGCTTTTTTATAGTACCTGCCACCCCCTGACAATAAAGTTAAATCTAAAGATATTCTGAAACTTGGAAGACTCTGACATAATTAAGAATCAAATGCCTACAACTGAGTGTTCTACATTCCTAGAATCTAGGAAAGAAAACAATCAAGTTCTTACTTCAAGGAGCATACATTACAGTGGGATGGAAAAGTCAATAAATACATGAATGAATTAGATCCTTTCAAATGGGATACGGGTATTAAGGCAAAAAACCCCAGCACAGTACTAAGAGTATTTATTGGGTGGGTGCAGAGCAGTACTTTATTGTTCAGGGAGGACCCTCTGAAGAGGTGACATTATGAGCTGGGATCCAAGCAGGATGAAACAAGAATGAACCTATTGTTTCTACAGAGGGAAAACAGGTCAGTCATGGTTTTGGCAGAGTGTACAAAGGGGAAGGAGGAGGAAAATGCAATCAGAAAGATAGGAAAGGGCCAAATCACGTAGCCTAGAATGCCATGGGAAGGAGTTGGATTTTATTCTAGTTGCAATACGAAGGTTTTAAGCATGGGAATGATTTGATCTCATTTATGATTTTTACAGATGACTAAAGTTGCTGTGGATAATGAACTATAATGAGATTAATCAGGAAGCTACTGCAGTAGTCTTGACGAGAGGTGAGAGTTCTGGCACTGGAGATGGTGAGAGCTTAGACTCTCAGAAGACCCAACATGCTGATGGACTGGACGTGGGATATGAGGGAAAAAAGGAATCTAGAATGATACTCAGAATATCGGCCTGAGCAAATAGTTTGACAATTATACTATTCACTGAGATAGAAAGAGCTCATTTCTAAATGGATACTTTGAAACTTTAGATATGTATTTCCACTGAAAAACTATTTAAGGGGCATCTGGGTGGCTCAGTGGGTTAAGCCTCTGCCTTTGGCTCATGTCATGATCTCAGGGTCCTGGGATTGAGCCCCACGTGGGGCTCTCCACTCAGCAGTGTGCCTATCTACCCCCACCCCGCCCTACCCGCCTCTCTGCCTGCTTGTGATCTCTGTCAAATAAATAAATAAAATCTTAAAAAAAAAAAAAAGAAAGAAAGAAAGAAAAGAAAAACTATTTAAAATAAATTCTGGGACCAATTTAAAAGAAAATATAACCTAAAGCAGAAATAAAATATTACCAAAAGAAGCCTAAGTGTTGAGGGCTAAATCTTTCTGAGTACTGGAAGGAGGAAAGGAAGAGAGTTTTCCATCTCTGGGTACCTCCTGAAGTACTCAGGGAATCAGCTTTATAGAGAGTAGGCAGGGGCTTCAGCCTCAGCAATGCTGGAGGGAGTGGAAGAGTGTTCTGTGAGTAGCAGCAAAGGTTGTGACAAAATCCAGTTGTTGAAGGATGGACTAGAGGTGACTATTTTCACAGATGGTCATTTATTTGAGAAATGTTCCTAACTCAGGGGCAGCTCAACTGCTTGCTGTATGCCTCAAATGAAATGATTCTCAGGTACCTCAAATTTGACATGTCTAAAAGCTTGAGTCCATGAAATTATTCCTCCTATATTTCCTAAGTTTTATAGCTGGGGGTACCACCATCTACCTAGTCTTTATTCCTCTTCATATGAATTATGTCATTCCAACTCCCAAATTTGTGTTCCATATACCAAAGCAGCAGTCTCTCAACTTGTTTTCTTCTATGCCAAACTTTCATTTCATTCCTTTCTCCATGTTGCCAGCACCTATCTTTCTAAAATGATTGTTCTTAAAATCTTTCAATAGTTGCCCCTTGCCTGTAGGATAAAACGCTATACTCCATGGGTGCCAGAGTGGCTCAGTTGGTTGGGCAACTGCCTTCAGCTCAGGTCATGATCCTGGAGTCCTGGGACCGAGTCCCGCAGCAGGCTCCCTATTCAGTGGGGAGCCTACTTTTCCCTCTGACCCTCCCCCTTCTCATGCTCTATCAAATAAATCTTAAAAAAAAACAAAAACAAAAAAAAAAAACCATCCCGGGTGCGCCTGGGTGGCTCAGTGGGTTAAAGCCTCTGCCTTCGGCTCAGGTCATGATTCCAGGGTCCTGGGATAGAGCCCCGCATCGGGCTCTCTGCTCAGCGGGGAGCCTGCTTCCCTGTCTTTCTCTCTGCCTGCCTCTCTGCCTACTTGTAATCTCTGTCTGTCAAATAAATAAAATCTAAAAAAAAAAAAAAAAATCCCATACTCCATAGTATGGAATATAAGACTATGATACAACCCCAAATTCCCTGGTTGTTTCGCCTTCTACCATTCTTTATCCATTATATAGTCTAAACTCTAACCGTACCAAACTAAAGCAAGCCATTCCATTAAGCGCCATGCTATCACAGCATCTTAAGTGCCTTAGCAAGCATGAAAATGACGATCCCCTTTTCCCTCTACCCACTTACCCTCACCTATCTACCTAGTGATAAATTCTTGTTTGTTCTCCAAATCTCAGCTCAGCGATGACTTCCTTGTCCCTCCTAGGCAAGAGCACCTTGTACCTCATTTTAACATTTACTATTCTATAGTGTAATTGTGAGCATGTCTCTCTTCCAAGCTAAGCTGTGTCAAGAGAAGAAAATCTTGAGTAGTTTCTCTACTATGTGCTTGGCACATAGTAGGTGCACAGTAAACTAGTTTTATTTACCACCTGGTTTAAAATATGTAATAGTGCTGAACCAAGATCTTCCAAGTACATTCTATGGTTCCTGAATATCCCTACTTTTTGCACTGGTTCATTACCTTATACTTGATGCTACAATGTGACCACTTTGGTTACATGAATGTGTTAATATGACTCCAGAGTCCTATAACTGTATCACTATGGAAGGAGAAAATATAAGTCACTTCTTCCCTTCCCCTTCTATCTCCATCCCTAGGAGCTATGGTTATCATCACAGTAAATGAAAAGTAGAGCTGCTACATAAGTGTCCTACCTACCCTCTTCCCAGGTCTGAACTGAGTACTATTCTCACTTTTCCTTTTACGAAGATTGTTTTGGGCAGAGATAAGGGCAGAGTACTCTCCTTGAGCTGGGGGCTAGAATTGAAGGGAATCAAAGATTCTCAGGATGAACTCTTCCTCAGGCTTCAAAGTACATGGAATAAAATGTCTGTGCTCATATTGACCAATACAGAAGAACAGGCAGGAATTTGGGAGGAAAACCTAGCAATGAACAAAACATACAATCAGCTTGAGCATTTCCAGTTAAACCTAATAAACCTAACTGTACAAGTAGGTATATCCAGTCAAGATGAGGTAACCTCAACATCTGGGATGTCCTGCAAATGAGTCTAACATAATAATCACTATCATTTATTAAGTATGCACGCTGTGCCAGACACCATGTTAGGCATTTCATAAGTATTACTTTAATCCTCAGATGCATCTATTTCTGTTCTGCAGATGGAAAGATGGAAGCCTAACAAGGTCAGATAACTTGTTCATGTCACGTAACTACCAGATGTTAAGAGGATTCAAACAAAGGTGGCTATTTCCATTGCACCACCAGACAGAGAAGTTTTCTAGTTACCTCTTTTAAATCTAGACAAGTTATTTTCAAATTGGAATGTGGTTTGATCTTGATAAAAGATTTTAAATTTTCAATGACCACAAATCCAAAATAATACTACTATCTGGCAATAATACATATTCCTCTCAATTTTTCTTATGCCACACTCACCTTGCCCCCTATCCGGACCTGAGCCTGAAGTTTGGCTAACTTTTCTTGATTCATGCTGTTGGTAAATCTAGGGGGGGAAAAATAGATTTGTTAAAGTCACTGTTTACCAAAATAAAATAACTGTTTATGCAACAGTACCTTCTGGCTCACTAGGCTTGCAATATGCGTCACCATCATGATCATATTAATCCTGTCTCTATATTCTTAATAAGTATTAATAACTCGTTCTAGCTTTATAAACCAGATATTAAGAGAACCAAAATTAAATAAGACCACAAGGGAGACAAATATACGAACAGAAAATAGAATGGGACTCAAAGTTACCTATTTGAAGATCCCTCCTTAAAAAAACAAAATTCATGGGGCTCCTGGGTGGCTCAGTTGGTTAAGCGGTTAAGCATCTGCCTTCAGCTCAGGTCATGATCCCAGGATTCTGGGATGGAGGCCTGCAGGTCAGGCTACCTGCTCAGCGGGAAGCCTGCTTCCCCCTCTCCCTCTACCCTCCCCCCTGCTCATGCGCACGCTCTCTCTCTGAAATTAAAAAAAAAAAAAAAAACCCACATCAAAATTCATTTCGTTGGCATTCAGTAAAACCTACCCAATTATAAAATCTCTAGACAAGCCAGTTTTTTCCCCCAGAGATTTTTACAGCAGAGCTGTTACCAAATGTTATTAGCACAACCTTTAAGCAGACTTTTTCCTCCCAAATCATAAATGAACCATATATAACCTTGTAACCATAATTAGACCCCCCCAAAAGAAACCTGGACAAAGAAGAAATTCAACAATAGGCTGTCTAGCTGTCAAGATATGAGGTAGTCATATCTTTTATTCAAGGTCAGATGGTACGTTAATAACAGGAAAAGAGAGCCAGATTTTTCAGACATTCAGCACTTTAGCAGCCCTTTCCACAGAGTTCATTCAATATTTTGCACTGATATAGTATGTCACACTTGTCAAGATATTCCTGCATACACGGTAAAATGCTTCACTGCACAATTTGATAAAAACATCTCTGCTACATTAATTCTAAATCTTTGTGTGTTTGGAGGGAGGAAATTCTTAAATATAAGCTTTTTAAGGCTAATTTTGATTTTGAAAATTCTAAGAAAATTGTAAAGTCATAAATCCTAATCTGATCAGTGATATTCCTACTAAAGAAAACAGTTCTTAAATTTATAATGGGTTGTAACATTCCACACTATATAAACAAATGCAAGCCAAGGTTAAGGGGCATCTGGGTGACTCAGCTGGTTAATTGTCTGCCTTTGGCTCAGGTCATGATCCCCAAGTCCCTGGATTGAGCCCCGCTTCAGGCTCCCTCCTCAGTGGTGAGTCTGCTTCTCCCTTGCTAATGCTCTCTCTCCCTCTCTCTCTCAAATAAATAAATAAAAATCTTTAATAAAAAAACAACAACAAAAAAAGCCAAGGTTAAAAATCTTGTTTTACTTGTTCTGTGGACCAACAGATTATTACTAAGATTTGAGAGAGGGAATAAAAACTTTTACGGCCAATTCTCTAACTGCTTTATAATTATCATTCACATGACAAAGATAATGTCTTTCAGAGATGAAAGAGAATCGAAGATTATATAAGCACTATTCTGTATTCTGACACTGGACTTTAGCAGTAACCTGTATATATATGCTTCAAGGCTAAATAAAGTCCAGTTCCCAAATAACATTCAGAATTTATGATTCCTCAATCTTTGCCCATCGCTGTATCACAATGCTCAGCAGCTAAAAACTCCTTTATAGGAGGAATACAAAGCCAGAAGGCTTAGATGTGTGACAATCTCAACTCAGCCACAGACTCACAGACTTAAAATTGCTGATGCAAATTCCAATGTCTATATCCAATATCCACAGAAAAGGACAAATATTCACTTTCCCCAAAGGAACGTGGCCCCAAAAGTACAGTGAACTGACAAAGAACCTAAAATTTTTTTTTACAAAAAAGGGGCTAAGTGAAAATATTAGAACTAGACATGGTAAATCTGAGACTCTTCTGCATTTTGAAGTACCAATCCCCAAGAGAAGAGATGGAAGACAGGAGACTGAAGTCAAGATGAAGAGCCTTGACTTGTTTGAAACAAAAGCAAAACCAAAATTAACTCTATATCAATGTGTAGATGAAAGAACAGATTCCATTCTATGTAATCAGTACAATAGAAAACTTGTTCCCAAAACTTATCTCAGAGAAAAACCATTTCAGGGAAGTTGTAAACTCAAGGGGGAGTGGGGAGGGAGAAAGGTGGTCCTTTGTCCACTAGCATGTTGGGGTGTGTGGAGTTGAAGTAGTAAAGAGGATTGGACTCAGTCTATGAGAGATGAGATGCCAAGCTCAGAATCTAAACTAGACCTCAAAGATCACTTGATTTAATTCCCTATTCCTCAGTCAACTTTTACTTCATTATACCCATTATTTCTGTTTTGTATGTGAGGCCATCTCAAATACCTGCAAGCAACAGTAGGGTAGAAATAAATTGTAAACAAATAAAATAGTTCGCCTCTCTCCTAATTTAATGGATTTGGAAATGAGGGTCCAAAAGGGAGAAGTCACTTCCTAGACCCAAAAGGCAGAAGTAACTTCCTAAGAACATAAATTACTGAATTCTTCCTTGGGGACCCTAGGATCATTTAATCCTTTACTCAAGGACTCAAGAAAGGTGTAAATAATGAGATTATAATCAGTATTTATTGAGTGCCCAAGTTCTAAGCATTATGGTAGGCACTTTCACCATGTTTACATATCATGTTTACACACGGATAAAACTAACTTCAACCTTTAGTCCTAACTTTTTATTATGTGGGATATCTCTAAAAGAGGCACAAATTTTGGAATCAAAAGGATCAAGGTTCTACTACTTAGGACTTCGGAAAGGCATTTTACTTTCTGAACTTGTGTTCCTTCTGTATTGGAAAAGGTTTAACACCACACAACTCATATGGTTGTTTTAAGGATTAAAGGTTAAGTTATCGAGCACAGGGTATGCCTCACTGTAGATACTCAAAAACTGGTAACTATTGTTACCACTCCCGAGGGGACAGCTATGGTGTAAGTGAAAGAACGTGGGAACGGAAGTTGAAACCGCCATTCACTAGCTGTGTAACAGGGTGCCCGTCGGTCAATTTCCTGACAGCCTACTATGCTTCAGGCAGTATGATGGGGCTATCGAGATGGTCAAGGTAATTTCTCAGGGAGGGAACAGAACTGTAAACAAATACTGCCATTACGAGGTGAAGAGAGCTGTAACGGAATTCAGTCCCAAGCGTTTCGGGGCCGGGGACTGCTAACCTCAGTTTCCCTATCTGTAGAGTGGGAGGATCAAAGGAGACAACAGATAGGCTGTTGTCACAGCATTGTTGTTGTGAATAAAAAAGAGTAATGGGAGAGAGGCGCGGGACCACCCGCCTCCTGGGACTCAATCTGGGCGGCAGCAGCACGGGCCCCCACAGGGAGTGGTGGTGCTGGGGACCTTCCCTCAGGTGCCGACCCCCAGCTGCGCCGCCGGTAACCGACAAGCCAAACCAGCCGCCTCCGCCCCCACTCGGCGCGCCACAGCGGAAGTGGCAGCCCGAGTGGTTGGCGGGTGTCGGAAGAAGAGGGCGGGGGGAGACCGTGCGCAGCGGCCTATGGCCGTGGAGTGGCGGGACCGCCGGGGGTCTCACCTGAAGCAGGGAGGGTCCTCCAACAACAGCACGCGGCAAGAGCAAGATGGCTGCCTCAGTCGAGACAGAGAAAGACGACGGCAACAGCGGCGGCGGGAGCGGGGCCCACGTGACACAAGCAGCTCCGCCTCTCTCTCTCTCTCTCTCTCTCTCTCTCACAGGAGCAGCCTATCCCGGGGAACGCATTTACGAACTACAAAACCCAGGCTGCTCTGCGCCTCCCAATAGAAATGCGGCAGGTGCAGGTGGCCGCACTGCATTCTGGAGCTTGCAGTCTCCTGAGAATTCCATTGTGTCTGTGCCTACAAATTTGTAGGGATTCTAATAAAAAAGAGGTGTGTATTTTTGTTTGGGTGTGTACTTTTGTCACGTATCTTTCACTAAGCATTAACTCCGCACTGTCGGACTCAACTAGTGCGGACTCATTAGTATGGAGACTCAGCCAGTCACTGAGCGAGGAGACGGGAAATTTTGACCTGTGTGTTATTTAAAAAACAAAACAAAACAAAACAAAACTGAGAAAGAAATAATTAACCCAGAAAGTTTAGAAGCAACTAGACAAGCATATTTAACCAGAAAAGCTTTACGCTTTAAATGCCTGCAGTGACTTTTGTCCTGGTTCACCGAAGAGCTAGGTCAGTTTTGCAATAAGAGATCCGAAGTTCGGTTTTTTCGGAGCTTGCATCAGTTGGTTGCATCATCCCTGAGTGGAAGAACTGCGGCTGCAAGGAAAAATAAGTCCAGCGCTGCTTCTCCAGCAAGAAGAGGGCATTCTTGTTAAGGCTCAAGACCAGGCACTGCAGAATATGTTTGCCAGGTCTCGTGGACCGGGCAGGAACTTAAGAATGAAATCCGGTTGTCTAGTCTTTTTTTTTATTTGCAGAGCAAGAAAGAGGAGGCCAATGGCAACGCGCCCACTGTTGGGAACTGCTGACTTCACCGATCAGTAATTAGCTCTGTGAATATTAAGTGCAGCGGTTCTTGGGGGGAGGGGCTCGCTTGCAGGCCGACGCAACCAGCAACGGTTCTCCCGAGCCCTCTTCCCATACCCCACCCCCACTATCTCCTCCACCTTTTCCCTCCCGGCCTTCCGACCGAACACCCAGAATCGAGGGGAAGCAGCTTGCGCTGGAGAGCAACTCCCACACCCTTCTACGTGATCTGCACCTTTAAACTTACTCCATTTCAAACCCGGCCCCGGAGGCACCACCCACATCCGTCTAACATCACTTCCTCCAGGGTTACGGAGGCGTGGGGAGGGGGGAGAATCTGGGAACGCGAGGGGTTGGGCTGAGCCGCACTTGGGGAACGGCGCGGACCTTCTGCTAGCACTCTGGCCGTCTTCCGTCTGCTCAGCCCAGTGGCCCCGCGCATCTACTTCCATGGAGCTGCGGTCTCATCTCGGGGCCACCTGTTTGCTGGGCTTCAGTTTCCTGCTTCTCGTCACCTCTTCTGATGGACATATTGGGCTTGGAAAGGGTCAGACCAACTTCTTATCTTAATCTTTACTCATACTGGGCCCAGCTCAGTATAACCCTCTTGTGCTAACACGATTCTCCTCCCGTTCTATCTTCGGCCACGCCAGGTTTCTTTCTATCCTCCCTAACCGCTCCTAGATTTGAGGATTTCTTGAGGGTAGGGAATAGCGGGTCTGGGGAATGTTGAGATGAGGGAGTTGTGCTGGAAGCCTCCCTAAATTCTTGGGTTGGGAGTAAGGAATGACCCTTCAATTAGGGAAAGCATGTTTAAGAGTCCAGCATACGTCCCTAGCACTTGGTAAGTCCTCAGGAACATTCAGTCACTTCTTCTGGAAGAAATAGGGCCTCTGGACACCTGCATATACAGAGGTCTTTCCTTGGCTCTGAGATCCCCACACTTAACCTCTTCCCTGAAGAGTTGGGTTATTGCTTCCTCTGTACAGGTCTTGGGGAGACTGGGCCTTACATACCAGGAAGGTGTGACTAGTATATAAAGAAAGGCCAGATGAAGGGTAGAAGTTCTGTTGTTAGAGGGTAACTAACAATTGTCCTTGGTGTGCTTCAGTCAATGTATTTGGAGAAACTATTTTTTTGAGGACGGAGGGAACAGTGGTTATGAATGGGGGATGGGAAATGTGACCCCCTACTCCATCCCCTTCCCTACATCTTCTTGAAGCTCAGGGTTTGTGCTTTTGCTAAGTGGAAGAGTGGTAGCATGGATTCCCTTCTCCCTCCTTTTTTTGTATGGACCTTACTGGATGGAACGATTCTGATGCAGTCCTGCTGTTTTAAAATTCTTCTATATCCTCCCTATTTGCATATTTATTGGTAGGTGATGAATTGGGTGGACATTCAGTGTACCTGAACACGGTCACTCCAGCAAATTAATTTTTGAACCCCTGCTGTATTCTAGGCACTGCCCTAGGCACTAGGGATATAGCAGTGGACAGGACGGATAAGGTTCCTGTTCTCACAAAGTTTATATTCAAGTGAGAGATACAGAGAGTGGACACACGAACAAGAACAAATTAAGAAGCAAGGTAATTTCTGCTAGGGATAAGTGCCATGAAGAAAATGAAACCGTGATGGAGTAGGATGGCTGGGGAGGTTAAGGGAGCCAGCATTACAGGAGCTAGAAGCCAAAGAAGGCTTCTCTGAGAAGGTGATAGGTAGGTTTCCATCTCAGTGATGAAACCGCTTGGTGAATTCTACTGGGCCAGAATGTTTTCAATACTGACAATCCCATTTTAAAACAGATTACTGTATATTTAGCACAAAATTGTAAGTACCAAGGGAGACAGAATATGGTGTTAGGAATGTGAGTGTAGATTTGAGTTTTATTTCATTCTGCTATTGACCATGTGAGAGGCTTAGGACAAGTTGCTTAATCTTTCAAAGCTCAGTTCTTCGTCTGCAAAATGGGCATAATAATAACTACCTCGGATACTCAGCAAATAATTTATGACTGTTAGGTGTAGGCAGTATCTTGGAGTCACCTATTTAGTATCTTTATTCCTTGTTAGACATTAAGTCATGTGTGGTGGTTCCAGTTGCCATTGCTGCATAATAAACTACACCCAAATTTAGTGGTATAAGGATATCATTTTATTATGCTCATGATTCTATGGGCCAGGAATTCAAACAAGGCATGGTGGGAAAGGTATGTCCCTTGGTTCTGTGTCTGGGGCCTCAGCTGAGCAGGTTACTTCTCCCTGTGGTCTTTCTTCAGGGGTTAGGTGTGGGCTTCCTCGCCGAATGACAGCTGTATTCTGAGAGGGTCCGCCCCAAGAGAACAAAGAGGAAATGCATTGCAATTTTGTCATCTAGCCTTACAAAGTCACATAGCATCGCTTCTACTGTAAGGACATGTTCAAGAGGAAGGACTCCCATGGAAGGAATGTTGAGGTAACTTTGTAAGAAAAAGCACGTGGAGTGAGAGATATTATTGCAAGTATAATCTGCCACAGTAAGCCAGGACCATTTGTGTCTCATTCATGCTCAGGAAGAGTTGTCAGAAGAAGAAATGAATGGTACCTGATCATTGAGATCCCTGTCTTTTTTCAGCTTATAGTCTGAAAATTGTCAGACAAGTAAGCAAGCAATTGCATAGACTGTGTATGTACTGGGAGCAGGGGAATACCGGGTAACTGTAGGAGGTGGGGGGGGGGGGCGGACTTGAGGCAGGAGGGCTGTGTTGTGAGGATTAAGTGAAAAAAATGATAGGCACTTAATATCATGTTACAAATGTAGAAAGTATTTAGTTAGTATTATTACGCCCTCCCAAGGGAGGGTATTTATTTGTTCTGAAAGGAATTAATAATTTTTCAAACTTTTGGTTTTTTGTGTCTCTTGGGTATTTCTTTGGAAATAAATTATAGCCCACCTACCCCACCTCCCCAAAATATGTTAGCTGAAGCAGTGTTCCTGAAAATCTTGATAGTTAAGATTTATTCCCAAATGTTTCCAGAAGATGGCCTGTTGGTTTGCAGAGAGGAGAGACTAAAAGACCCTACTTTTTCATTAAGAACAGGAAGTATGGTGGTGTGCTCTGAGCACTGGATGGAAATCAGGAGGCCTGCTTTTTAATGCTGGTCAGACCAGGTAGCCAGCTCTGGTCTTCCCTGGGGACTCTTTACTGAATGAGAGTATTGAACTATATATAATTCCAAAGAGTCCTTCCAGCTCTAACATAATGTTCTCAAATACAGTTGACTCTTGAGCAATACAGGGGTTAGGCGTGCTGATCCCCCCACACCCCATATTCAATCAGCATATAACTCCTCCAAAACTTTACTGGTAGCTTTCTGTTGACCAGAAGCCTTACCAATAACATAATCAATAACATATTTTTTTTTAAAGATTTTTTTTTTTTTATTCATTTGACAGACAGAGATCTCTAGTAGGTGGAGAGGTAGGCAAAAAGAGAGAGGAGGAAGCAGGCTTCCCGCTGAGCAGAGAGCCTGATGTGGGGCTCGATCCCAGGATCCTGGGATCATGACCTGAGCCGAAGGCAGAGGCTTTAACCCACTGAGCCACCCAGGCGCCCCTCAGTAACACATATTTTTATGTTATATGTATTATATTCTGTTTTTATATAATAAAGTAGCCTAGAGAAAAGAAAATTAAAATCATAAGGAAGAGAAAATATATTTATAGTACTGTACTGTAAAAAAAAAATCCTTGTATAAGTAGATTCATGCAGTTCAAACTCATGCTGTTAAGGGTCAACTATAATTTTGTTGTTCTCTGTGTCATAAAAATTTGGAATATGTCACCAATGGGGGAGTTGTAATGACTAACATTTTTTGTACATTCACTATATTCCAGGCACTGTACTGTGCATTTTTCATGTTTTGACTGGTTTAATCCTCATGATAACCCTCTAAGATGGGTAATACTTTTTCTCATCATCCTCATTTCACAGATGAAGAATCTAAAATGGGGTAAGGAGGGGGCGGTCACACAGCCAGTAAATGGACTCTCTGGGATAGAAATCCCAGAGGTTGTGCTTTCAACCAGTACACCGTTCCTGCCTCTGACTGCAGAAACTCCTTTGAAGACTTCACAGGAGAAATGAGAAGGCTGTTAATGGGGGCCGTTTATGTGCTCTCCAGCCTGAAACAGAGATTGATGACTTTGTCAA